AGAAAGTTTTAAATGATAGTGTTATTCTAGGATGCTATCAGCACAAATGCAAAGGTTAACTAGGCATATATGAGTTGCCCTGGCAACTACCCATGTGATTAATATATCTAAGAGAAGAGATAATTTATGGGCAACCTAAAGTAACTCAAATTGCATATACTATCTTCCACCTTGACTTCTATGCCATATCCTTGAAGTTTATGTCATTATTGGTAATACAATTAAACAGATGAGAAATCTAAATCAGAGTGATCAACTAACTTGCTCCAGGCAACTTATCTGTAACCGCTGCAGAATATCAAATTTCCTAGATTCTATATATTAATACTAATTACTCCCAAAGTTCCAAGAATTCTATCTGTACAGAACCAAATATAGGACCTTGCTCAGAGAATGTATTCAGTAAGTTTTTGTTGCATCAAAATGCAATTACTGCAATACAACATTGCAATGGTGCAATGAATGAGTGGACGAATAAGTTGTACGGCAGAGCTAACAGTAAAACAAACGTGGAAATAGGAGAATATGACTAATAGCCTCAGAAGTAAAATTGTGGCCATGAAACTGCTAAGGGTAAGCTGGAATTTCAACCAGCCATTTCTCATAGAACATGTGATGCTTCCCTTACAGTTTTTTGAATCATTATTTCACCCACTTAATTAATGCTGGTATCTTTTTTTTTTAACCACTTTAATTTATCTGAACATAAAGTCCACCCTCGCCACTCTCTCCTCCCCACCCCCATTTAAAGCAAACCACTTGGACTTGTTTACAATACTTAGGCCCACTCCCCTGGCTCTTTGCCTGACCACAGAGTTTCCATGCAGTGCTTGGACTTATGTAAAGGCTCTGTGGATCCCATCCACAGACTTGCTCCATTGCCAAAAGGTTACTCTCCAACTTCAACAAAGAAGAGAACAAATTTAGTATTGAGGGAGATAGCTATATGGCAGATAAGAAATTTGTAAAATTTTGCACTGTGCTGTCTGCTCTAGTTTGCTCTGAAAATGAGAATGGAATCAGCCTTTTCCGGTATTTTTCCAGCCCCACACTCTCCACCCCACCCCGCAATCAAACCAGACACCTTATGAGCCATGTTCATTACTTACAGGAGATTCACTGACTCCAAAGATGTCTCTGACATCCCTGACAGATTGCTTATTCTTTTTCCTCATGGTTTGGGTATAGGTGTTATATCTCTTTTTCACTGCAGCTGCTTGGGTGCGAGTCAACGTAGAGAGCAAGGCTTTGCCGTCCTCCTCCTCATCACCGGAGATCAGAGTCGATAACCCCACATCTTGCAACCACTCTGCCTCAAGCTCACCTTCTGTCAAATGACATCATCAAGAGAACCTTAGAACATGTTCTGTATGATAGGACAAGGTGTGTATCTGTGGATCTGTGCATATCAGACAATAAGAAATATCAGTAAACAATATATTATGATTGTCTTTTTTTTCTACAGTAATTACAGGAAAGAACTACAAGAAAGAAGGAAAAGTCTACATTGTATTTTTAAAATGAGTCAGATTTTAAAATATTTTTTAGTAGCATAAGGTTAATTGGCAGACTTAAATAAGGTAATTTTCTTTGCCACAGAGCTAAATATTAGCCATATCTGGACTACCCATTTCAAAAAATGATACAAAATGAATATTTAAACTAAAACCATAATAGAAAAAACATGGTTTAATAGAACATAAAAAGGTTTTTTAATCACTCAGATGCAGGCTCAAATCCCAGTGCCACCACATACTAGCTGAATGATTTTGTTTAGTTTTAAGATATCTCTAGGCCTCAGTGTTCTCCAGCAAAATGGGTGTAGTGAATTCCTATAATTTTATGTTGCTTCGGCATCCATTTAGAATCCAGGTTTAACTTCCTCATACCAAAGACAGGGCTTAGTCACTCTTGACACAGTTTTTAGTTCCCTACCTCCTCTATTTCCTTAGTGTGGTTGCTCCATATATTGGCTTTATCCAGTCACCTCCTGGTGACCAGCTCTCAGTGGGACAGCTGACACAACCCAATTGGCTCGCTCCACTGACCCCGCACCCTACACAGACTGCACAGGTATACCACAGTGACCACCTCTCAGTCATGGTGTGACTCCACAGAACCTGTGCCCATTTGCTCTAAACCCACAATCACACTCTCCAGGGGAAGTCTGCTGGGGTGATGCCCTTGACCCCACTAAAGGCTTGGCCCACAGGTCCCTCCCTCTTCCTCTCAAGCTCCCTACCTGCTGCCTGAGTGTGTGTGTCCTGGACAGCTCCCCTCTTCCTACTGGCCCTGCAAAGCATGCTGTCCTCTTCTCTTGGGATCTGTAAGTCATGCACTGCTTCTGGTATTTCAGGCATTTTGCTGAGTTGCTTCCTCTGGGTCTCACCTAACCTGACACCCAAACCTAACTTCTTTCCTGGTTAGGGCTTTCCTAGAGAGTGGCTGTCTTGGAAGGGATAAACTGGAGACAGGTCAGACAAGAGCCACAAGGGCATCTGCTAGGACAAAAAAGCTTCCTACGAGGGGACACTTGGTCACGAGTCAAGTACTTAGGCGTTAGGCTGTCCACCAGGATAAAGAAATAGCCCACGAGAGGTACATTGTCAACAGCCATGACCAAGTTCCATGAAGCCCCCTGGGGCAGAGTTAGTTAGCCCCTCTCCTGAGAGAGACCTCAACACCAAATTAGAGGAAAATACACCAATGAGGGTAATCACAACAAAAGTATTAGGTGGCTGTGAGGACTGTTTTTTGTTTTGCTTTTTTTAAAGTCAATGTATTTATGACAGATGGCAAACAATCTGGAACAAGGTAGGTATTCAACAGATGTTCATTCTACTTTCCTCCTTAATCTGAGCATTAGATAATCATTCCTTTCTTCAGAAGGCAATTCAAAAACCTAAAATTCATCAACAAGAATCCATTGCTATGGTAAACTAGATGTACAGAAATATAAGGCATTCAGAATAACAACATCCCATATCAGAAAATCTACTCTACATACCTTTCTGGGAACTATGCTAAAAAGTCATGACCTGAATGAGGGTTGTTTAAAGAGAACTAGTTTGTAAACAGCATGTCAAAGCATCAGTCTAGTCTCTGCTTATTGTGTCACTGGTATATAAACAAAGCATTCTAAGGTGATTTACAGGTCCAGTTCCTTACCTAGGCAAACATTTTATTTGCTATCTTATCTTTATTGTTCATTTGCTTTGTAATCTGTTCCTTCAACAGAGAATAAAAGGTGAATTTATGATTAGTAACCCTAATCTAAAATAAACATTTTAGATCAGTGAGTTATGACTTGGAAGTCTTCCTTTACTTACACTGTAGATAATATTTTCATTTCTGAGGACAAAATTTACAAATACAGTTTAAAATTAAATTTTTTAAATATGGATTTTATTTTCCCTCCACGTCTGTAAGGAGTAATACAAGAGTAGGCAGGAGTAATTGGTAGGGCTAGAATTAACATAAACCAGGGGTGAGGAGAGTCTAAACCCTTGGACTCAAACCGTAGCATATGTAGAATACATGTTTTCCGTAGATAAGATATGTCCACGGCAGATATCATTGTTACTCTTGTTTGCTGAATTAAGTCCAATACAATCTTATTCTCATTGCTCCAGTTGCCAAATGCGTAACTTCAACACAGAGCATTCCTTTGAATTTTCCACATACCTAACTGCCTAGTCAGTATCCACTTGGCTCTGTCAATCACATGTCTTTTTCAACATGTTCAAACCTGAGCTCAAATTCTTCATTCTCAGCTCTCGGCTTCTTCCAGTATTCCATATTTCAGTAAATGAAACCCTCTGTCCATGCAATTAGGCAAATGCATAACCCAGGAGACGTTCTTGATGTCTTCCTGTCTTTTCCACTCAACTCCAACGCATCACCAAGACCTTTTGATATTACTTCCTTAATAATTCCCCAAATTTTCCACCTTCCTTTCTCTCTTCTGCCATGACTGTGGTCCAGCTATCATTACCTCTCACCTGGAATGCAGCAACAGACCCCCAACAAAAGACCTTTTGATATTACTTCCTTAATAATTCCCCAAATTTTCCACCTTCCTTTCTCTCTTCCACCATGACCCTGGTCCAGCTATCATTACCTCTCACCTGGAATGCAGCAACAGACCCCCAACAGTTCCTCCTGCAGTCATCCTGACACCCTTCCAGTCCATTTTCCATACCATAATTACATGAGTCTTTTCAAACACAAACATAAATAATGCTCTTAGATTAAGGATAAAACATGGCCTATAAGATACGAAGCTGCTCACCACCTTTCTGAACGTGCTCACCAGCTCTCCTCGCCATCTGTTCTCCAGCAATACTGGCCTACTTTGGGTTCTTCAAAAACCCCATGCTCTATTTTGTTATAAGGCCATTGGACATACCAGTCCTTCTATTTGACCCTGCAATTACTGGCCACTCAATCTTTCAGATCTCAGTTTACACATCCCTTGCTCAATGAAGTCTTTTTTCCTGAACCCATCAGAGACAAGGTCATGTCCTAGTGTCATCAATCCCAATACTGCCGTATTTCTTTTCCCTTCAAATAATTTTTCTCTCCAAATAAATCCATTTAATTCCATGAAACAAAAAAAAAAGTGTCAAGATTATAAAAATCAAACAAAGGCTAAGAAACTGTTCTAGACTGTAAAAAAACAAGGGAAATGTGACAATTAAATGCAACAAGTGTTTCTGAACTGGAGGGTTTTTTTGTCCATACTATCATATACAAACAATTAGAATTTGAACATAGTCTGAGGACTGGATGATAAAGTATCAAATACAATTTCTTAATTTTAATAGGTAAACTGTGATTACACAGGAATGAATCTCTCTCTCTCTCTCTCTCTCTCTCTCTCTCTCTCTCTATATATATATATATATATATATATATGCATAACACCTAACAGTATTTGGGAGTGAATAGAGCATCAAGTTGGCAAGTTACTATATCAAATAGTCCCAGAACAAACGGTTATTTAAGTTGTACTTGTGACTTTCCCATATGTTTGAAGTTATTTCAAAATGAAAAGTATATAAGAAGTACATATGGTTATTTAAAGCAAATATCTGGAAATTAAGAAATACACAGAAAAATAAGAAAATATTTAAAACTGATAATGAGATACAATGTCAAAATTTGTGGGATGGAGTGAAAGCAATGCAATGCTTACAGGGAACGTTTCATATTTAAAAAGATAAAAGATTTAAAATCAGTGGTCTAAGTGTTCATCTTAAGAAGGTAGGAAAAAAAACCCCAAAACAGGCAAATTAAACACAAATAACATAGACAAAAGGAAATAAAAGCTTTATTAATCTTTTCAAGGAATGAACATGCTGGAAAAGCATGTGATAAAATTCAACATCCATTTATGTTACTTCCAGAAAAATAGGAATAGAAGGCTGTCTGGTGAAGATCCCTTACTGAAAGTTTACAGCTACCATCATACTCCATGGTGAATATTGAACCCTTTCCCTGTAAACCTGGGAACATGGCAAGGGTATGTACTATCACCCTTTCTAGTCAACTGGCACTGGAGGCCCCAGCCAGCAGAGTAAAGCAAGATAAAGAAGCAAAAGCATAAAAATCAGAAAGGAAAAAGGAAAACTCTCTCTATACACAGATGACCTCTTTGTTTATGTAGAAAATCCTAACAGATCTAGTCCATAGCTACTAGAAAATAAATTTTAAAATGTTGAGATATAAGGTCAAGATACAAAAATCAACTGTATTTCCATACAGCAGCAGCAAACCATTGAAAAGACAGAGAGAGAGTGAAACCCAATTAAAAGACACCATTAGGGCCGGCCCGGTGGCGCACTGTGCTAAGTGCGCAGCTTGGGAAGCGCGGCGGCGCTCCCGCCGAGGGTTCGGATCCCACATACAGACCGGTTCCCGCTCACTGGCTGAGCGAGGTGCG